AAATTTATCAGTGACATTTTTCTTTACTTACAAGATAGCTATCAGGATTTACCAGTGACATTTTTCTTCACTTATAAGATAGCTATCAGGATTTACCAGTGACATTTTTCTTCACTTATAAGATAGCTATCAGGATTTACCAGTGACATTTTTCATCACTTATAAGATAGCTATCAGGATTTATCAGTGATATTTCTCTTCATTTAATGCAAACTCTTAACTTGCACTTAAACATAGACTATTTTAAATGCCTATATTTGTTTGTTCATTTTGATAAATTCTAAGTTTAAATTATTTTTTTGCAATTTTCAATCTTTTCCATATGCATCCAAAGTTATTTTTTAAGATATGCTAAATTTTCTATTAAATTAAGTTTGTTGCTAAAGGCTATTCGAATGATTCGATCTATGAATTTTTCAATTTACATTTAAACTTTGATTATCACAAAAAGATAACAGAATGTGCGATAAGTTAAATTGCTCGGTATAATGTGAAAAGATAAGAAATCTCTGAAAATTTAATTTAAATTTCATAGAACAAAATATTTCTCTCTTTTCGAATTATTTTTTTATCGAATTTTTTCTTTTTTTTAATTAATATTTTTAACATTTTCATCATTGATGATTTTTTAAACAAATGTCGATCATGGATTGATTTTTTAAAGTATTTCGATTGGATAATTCTCAAAATTCATCTATAATATTTTTCCTATCACAGCATAATTTGTTACAAATTTTCAAATTGAAAATGAATTTTTTTTAATTGGAAATGAAAAGGAAACCTAGAAGAATTGCATTTCTAGTTTTTCAGTATTATCCCTTAACCGAGTCTCAGCTTTTTTTTTTCTTTTGGTAGATTTTTAAAAATTCTTCCTGCACTATTTATGCAAAATACTAGCAAAATGGAAAAATTTTTTAAGATAGAAAATAAATTAATTACTAAAATATCAGAATGCGTTCCCTAAAAAAAGCAAAAAAAAGGTTAATTTGGATTTTTATCATTTTTTTTAAACTTTCATTATTTCATCCTTACAA